CAATTACAAATAGGTGTTCGTCAAGAATATTCATTTATTCTAAGAAAATCAAAAGAACTCTCTTAAAATTTAACATATGTATAAAAAAGCAGTATGTTACATTTTGTTACACACACCATCTATGAAGAATAATAATCTTATCCTTATTGATATCATTATCAATAAGTATAAGACATTGAACTTTTTAAAATAAGTGACATTGTTTAGCTGCTTTCTGAGACAAATTAAGACAAAAAATTAAAACTGTCCTAATCTGAGCAAGAGTCAGACATCCAGCATCCCACATTCAGTATAAATCCTAAACCTGTTTGAAAGCTGTCTGAATACCTATTCTTGGGTGGCAAAGATTCATTAGAACTTGGAAACTTTGACCTCAACAAATCAATCTATTCTAGTAATTAGGATAGATGAACTCACCAAAGCAAAATATATCAAAAACAATATTTTAACTTATCTTTTGTTTTTCAGGAGGGCTGTAACTTTGTTCCATGTAGTTACTTGCATTACCCCAAATTCTACAACAAAAAAATCAGTTTCTCATATTATTTTTTTTTGACAATGCTACATTTTTCAGTAAAAGAGCAGTGTAAGTATGTAACGCCACAGAGAAATGGTCTCGAAGCAGAGTAAAGCCGCTTCATAGGAAAGCATGTAAACATCAACACCACAACCATAAATCAGCTAGCAATATTACTCACTGCCCATCTGGCTACCTAGTGTGACTGTCTATTTAAGCCAGAAGTAAAAGGAACCCTTTGAATGCACTGCACACGGTCATTCAATTCTACTAGCTCTATTAAACATAACCCCCATCCATTCACCTCCCACCCTAAAAAGTACCAGAGTGTGCAAAGTAACTCCATCCCAAATGTCAATGCCCCAATGGCAATCTAAGCCCGGAGCCACTACATCCCCCAATAAAACCAGCCACTTCATCCAAAAAATACAATATTCCCTACCTAAGTGTTGGGAAGAGACAATATAACATAAAATATTAAAAACATATGAAGCAAATATTTAATACTTATCTGTCATTGTTTTGATTGTAGCGGTCCCCAAGGCTTGGTTGCTGATGTCACTAAGCACGTCAATAGGGAAGCCTTGAAAGACAAAGTTTAATCACCGAGGCAGCTGTTAGAATTGAAAATGAAACAATTTTTTTTCATAGATGTTACGGAAACAATAATGATAATCATTGAACATAAGATTAATGCCTCCAGTAATTGCTCATGCATTGGAAAATCAGCATTAGTCCAAGCTGACGAAAGTTTGGCGGATATTTACTACAATATTCTGTTTTAAAAAGTGTGCAAAAATGTTAAATGTGAGGCGTCACCAATAGAGTGTTCCTTCTGGTTTCACTGGCTTCCATGATGATTGCCAGACTTATAATACTTTACACAACTTTTTAGAACTTTGCCATTAACCATTTTACTGCAAAATGCAGTATAAATGGTTTTATTTCCATGTATTTTGCAGTATGAAATTTAGTTCATAAAAACTCATACACCCTCATGTATACTCCTGGAATGATTACCAGGGTGTAGAGAAATGGAATTATCTGCCAAAAGCCACTAGTCACTGATATAATGCCTACAAGTCTGCTGAAAATATAAGCACAATGTTTGGAAAATAAGTTTCAATGGGTCATATCTAGGCTTGTGCAAGGCAGAAAATGTTGGTTCTTACAAACCACTTCGGCAGAAAAACTTGGTAGGCAGTTTTTAGTTTTGCCACCGCTTAGCTTAGCCAAATTTCAATACTGAAAAATATTTGGGAAGAAATTTGGCCGCAGCCAGAAAACAAGAAAATATAATGCTTGTATAATGACATGCAAAAATGGCTACAATATTGCCTGGCCTAATGGCTATGCAATATCAGATATTTTTGAAGTGCCATTTTTGAGTTACCAAAGTTAGATTATTACAATGAACACAATTATAAACGCAACACTTTTGTTTTCGCCCCCATTTTGCATGAGCTGAACTCAAAGATCTAAGACTTCTTCTATGTACACAAAAGGCCTATTTCAAATATTGTTTACAAATCTGTCTAAATCTGTGTTGGTGAGCACTTCTTCTTTGCCAAGATAATCCATCCACCTCACAGGTGTGGCATATCAAGATGCTGAATCGACAGCAAGATTATTGCAAAGGTGTGCCTTAAGCTGGCCAAAATAAAAGGCCACTATAAAATGTAGAGTTTTATCACACAGCACAATGCCACAGATGTCGCAAGTTTTGAGGGAGAGTGCAATTGGCATGCTGACTGCAGGAATGTCCCCCAGAGCTGTTGCCCATGAATTGAATGTTAATTTCTCTACCATAAGTCATCTCCAAAGGCATTTCAGAGAATTTGGCAGAACATCCAACAAGCCTCACAACCGCAGACCACATGTAACCACACCAGCCCAGGACCTCCAACTTCCAGCATCTTCACCTCCAAGATCGTCTGAGGCCAGCCACCCGGACAGCTGCAGCAACAATCAGTTAACATAACCAAAGAATTTCTGCACAAACTGTCAGTTAGCATAACCGTCAGTTAGCATAACCGTCTCAGGGAAGCTCATCTGCATGCTTGTCCTCCTCATCGGGGTCTCGACCTTTGTGTACATAGAAAAAGTCTTAGATCTTTGAGTTCAGCTCATGAAAAACGGGGAAAAAACAAAAGTGTTGCGTTTATAATTTTCTATCTGGATTAAAAAAAAACTAGGAAGGGTTTTATAATAATCAATTAAAATCATGTTCCTTTTGTTATCTTGTATTGATGGAAATTGGAGAGCAGTAGTGATTTTAAGTTCAAAATAGGGGCAATTATTCACCACCCACTCACCTTTTTACCCTGACAAGAACAATGCTTTTCCTCACAATTAGTCTGTAGCACCAATGATCGTCCATCAGTTTGGAAAAAAACAGTCTTATCACCCTTTTCTAGCTGTGTCAGTTGAGATAGCAGGCACCACACAACTCGGTCAGGCAGGGCAAAACCACTACAGTGATAGGCAATTGGAAAAAAGAGGAAGCAGCAGCAGCTGGAGTAATTTTTTTTTTTTATGAGATGGGTAAACAAGGGGATGACCTGTACCCAACCTACATTATCTTGGTTCGAAGTTTCTATCACATCCCATCAAAAATGTAAAACTGGCACTAGCTTCCCTATTTTTGTCTAGTTCACATGCCTCAGTGGGGAGTCAATGCCAATGGAGTGGCGGGAAGATAGACTATGGATTGCCCTCTGTTCTTTCAAAATTCTTTCCACTATGTGTAAAGTAAAGTTCCGCCATGTGCTGACATCCTGTTGTTGACAGTGTGTGAGAAGGCCTCTTTTCTATTGCTCCTGCCTCAAAAGTTGGCTAGCCCGCACACTGCAGTGAAATGCGTGATAATCAAAAAGGCCATTTTGTTAGGTTGTTGGAATGAAATCAAACCAAAGAGTGGTCTTTCCTGAGATGATGAAGAGTTTAAATTTGGTGGTGGTAGAAGAAGAGGAGGTAACGCTGGTGGTAGGTTGTGACAACAGCGTAACATCAGATACAGCACCAGTAGACCTGCAATTCAAGAGTTGCATCCTGTGTGTTAAGTTGTAACAGACATACTGCTGACCCAACTATCATGATGCTGAATACTACTAACAGTAGTGGCAGTTGATGTATTTCAATGTGTGATATCTAATTGTCTTTGTCTGGGAGAGTGCTATTGAACTATACACACACAGCTGCACCAGAAGCTTCCCCCACACACAAATACTACAGCAGCCCACAAGCAAAACACATACAGCTTCACAAACAGTCCACGCAGGCACAGTACCACTGACCACAAACACAGCACCACTGCCAACCTACTAATACACATATACAATCCCATAAGCAGCCCTCCCATGTACATGCATCACACAATACAACATATAGCCCACACATACAATCCAGAAAGCAGCCACCACCCACATTCACACACAGGACGTGCTACACAGCCTACATTCATACATAACACACACAATACTCCAAACTGCTCAGGCACATAGAAAATAAACACAGCCCACATACACACAAATATAATCCTACTAAGCTGTGCAGGCCTTCAGCACAATCTGACACACACACACACACATATATACAGTTGCAAGAAAAAGTATGTGAACTCTTTGGAATGATATGGATTTCAGCACAAATTGGTCATAAAATGTGATCTGATCATCATCTAAGTCACAACAATAGACAATCACAGTCTGCTTAAACTGATAACACACAAATAATGAAAGGTTGCCATGTTTTTATTGAACACACCATTTAAACATTCACAGTGCAGGTGGAAAAAGTATGTGAACCCCTAGACTAATGACATCTCCAAGAGCTAATTGAAGTGAGATGTCAGCCAACTGGAGTCCAATCAATGAGATTAGATTGGAGTTGTTGGTTACAGCTGCCTTGCCCTATAAAGAACACACACCAGTTCTGGGTTTGCTTTTCACAAGAAGCATTGCCTGATGTGAATGATGCCTCGCACAGAAGAGCTCTCAGAAGACCAACGATTAAGAATTGTTGACTTGCATAAAGCTGGAAAGGGTTATAAAAGTATCTCCAAAAGCCTTGCTGTTCATCAGTCCACGGTAACACAAATTGTCTATAAATGGAGAAAGTTCAGCACTGCTGCTACTCTCCCTAGGAGTGGCCGCCCTGTAAAGATGACTGCAAGAGCACAGTGCAGGCTGCTCAATGAGGTGAAGAAGAATCCTAGAGTGTCAGCTAAAGACTTACAAAAGTCACTGGCAAATGCTAACATCCCTGTTAGCGAATCTACCATACGTAAAACACTAAACAAGAATGGATTTCATGGGATGATACCACAGAGGAAGCCACTGCTGTCCAAACAAAACATTGCTGCACGTTTACAGTTTGCACAAGAGCACCTGGATGTTCCAGAGCAGTACTGGCAAAATATTCTGTGGACAGATGAAACAAAAGTTGAGTTGTTTGGAAGAAGCACACAACACTATGTGTGGCAAAAAAAAGGCACAGCACACCAGCATCAAAACCTCATCCTAACTGTGAAGTATGGTGGTGGGGGCATCATGGTTTGGGGCTGCTTTGCTGCGTCAGGGCCTGGGCGGATTGCTATCATCGAAGGAAAAATGAATTCCCAAGTTTATCAAGACATTTTGCAGGAGAACTTAAGGCCATCTGTCTACCAGCTGAAACTCAACAGAAGATGGGTGTTGCAACAGGACAATGACCCAAAGCATAGAAGTAAATCAACAACAGAATGGCTTAAACAGAAGAAAATACACCTTCTGAAGTGGCCCAGTCAGAGTCCTGACCTCAACCCGATTGAGATGCTGTGGCATGACCTCAAAAAAGCGATTCACACCAGACAGCCCAAGAATATTGCTGAACTGAAACAGTTCTGTAAAGAGGAATGGTCAAGAATTACTCCTGACCGTTGTGCACGTCTGATCTGCAACTACAGGAAACGTTTGGTTGAAGTTATTGCTGCCAAAAGGAGGTTCAACCAGTTATTAAATCCAAGGGTTCACATACTTTTTCCACCTGCACTGTGAATGTTTACATGGTGTGTTCAATAAAAAACATGGCAACATTTCATTCTTTGTGTGTTATTAGTTTAAGCAGACTGTGATTGTCTATTGTTGTGACTTAGATGATGATCAGATCACATTTTATGACCAATTTGTGCAGAAATCCATATCATTCCAAAGGGTTCACATACTTTTTCTTGCAACTGTATATATATATATATATATATATATATATATAATAATTAAAAGAAAATTAGGACTTGAGATTTAAAATACTTATTTTGGAACTGTTCCATTAAAAGATTGCCTACCTCAATTCTATACTTCTATACAGATAGGAGCCCATACTGATTCAATCCTGAACTAGCTGT